TTCAATAAGCCGATCACCGTTGTGATCAAAGAATTAGACTTTAAGTTCCCAGAACACAATTAGCTCTAAGAGCAAGTTAGGAAGTCATGGAAACAAAAATTCCAAGTTATAAACCATCAAAATGCCCTACAACACCTAGTTTACGACCACAACATTCAGGAAAGAACAAGATAGTTTACTATGTTTACTCGCATAGTGAATGGTATCACCGTAGCCAAGACCACTACCTATTCCCTTCCGTACAATTCAATGCTTCCAGCTTGACTCAAAATTTTCAGATAGGGTAGTGTGTTGAGGTTATTCTATGTTTAGTGCCACTATCATGTATGGAAATGGTCAAGGTCATTTTAAGCTGAACTTTCTGGAGCCTAAAGAAAATCCGGTGGATATCTACTAGGTTAAAGATACAGTGAAAGTCAATAAGTAGGTTGTTTACTAAGTATATTTTTACACACATTTTCTCATTTTTAAAAGAAGTATTCTGGAGTGTAATTTGTTTTTAAATTTTATAGTCTTGTATTTTATTTTATAATTGTATCACAAACTTGTTTCCATTTGTAATATTTTAAATAATACCTTATAATTGGATTTAACTTTATATTTATTTTTGGTGGTGTTGACTTTATTTAGATTTAAATTTTATGGATTTTTCATCTTTTATTTTATTTTTATTTATTTTTAATTTTGTCTTATCTAAAATTTGAAGCTTCGAAACTCTGGTCGTGACAATAATATAATATAAAACAGCAAAAAGGGAACAATCAAGGTTTTGTAGTCCCCAATTTGAATTTCCTCTTCTTCACGTTTGTCCTCTGTTAGTGAAAGAATGAGTGATTGAATGGTTGATGAGGAGATTATATTATGAAGAGCAAGAATGCTCTTTATATAGATAATACAAAAATATATTTTGAAAATCTACCTAAAAATTTGCAAAAATCTGGTTTGAACAAAACAGTAAACAAATCAAAAACTAAATCAAATCAAAACTAAATCAACTCGTAATGGAGATTTAATCAGATACTAACGGATAGCAATCTAAACAAATATGTGATCTTTAACACTCTTCATTGTTTAGATGTTGTGAACTCCCAACTTTTTTTTTAACACCCATCTTACTCCAATTATCTTTCTGTTTAGATGTCGATCAACCAACTCCCAGGTTTTGTTTTTCTCGATCACCGAAAGCTTCTCCTCTGACAGGTGCATCATCAACCAAAACATCTTCTCGTTCATCTTCAGACTCTTCTTGTCGTTTATCTTCCGACTCTTCTAACATGCTAGCAAAGATTAAATTGTTTGGTGCATTAGAAATCTTATTTACCTTCGTCAGTTCTTCCCAATTCCATTGCTCATTTCCAGCAAAATGAGCATCTCAGCTCACAATAACACGACTAATGTGGTTTAAAAACTCTGTAAGCTTTGAATATAGTGTTACACCGAACAAAGATGTCAGCTTCTGCCTTTTTGTCAAGCTTATCATGCTTGACCGGTAGAATATAAGTGAAGCAAAGACATCCAAATATTCTAAGGAACTTTAAAGAAGGTTTGTAACCATACCAAACTTCAAATGGTGTCAGGTCCTTCACGCCTTTTGTTGAAATTCGATTTTGCAAGCACACAACAATGTTTGCTGCTTTTCCTCAAAAATGTTTTGGAAGATCCTTCTCATGAAGCATGCATCTCGTCATCTCCATTATGAATCTATTCCTCCTTTCACTGACGTCATTCTGTTGAGGAGTGTATGGTGTTGTCAATTGATGTTCAATTCCAGCCTCTTCACAATACCTGTTAAAAGTTTTTGAAGTGTACTCCTTACCATAATCTGATCATATAGTTTGAATCAAGCATGCACTTTCATTTTCAACTCTTGACTTTGAATTTCCAAAATACACTTGCAACTTCATTTAATGATGGCATTCTCTAAGGACCACAAAGATCAGTATGAACCAGTTGCAGTTTTTTCGAGGCTCTCCATGCCTGTTTAGGAAAGGGTTGCCTATGTTGCTTCCCAAAATTACAAGTACGGCAAGGAGGTATGTCATCATCAATGTTAGCGAGTCCTTCTACCAACTTCTTTGACCACAAAGATCAGTATGAACTAGCTGCAGTTTTTTCGAGGCTCTCCATGCCTGTTTAGGAAAGGGTTGCCTATGTTGCTTCCCAAAATTACAAGTACGGCAAGGAGGTATGTCATCATCAATGTTAGCGAGTCCTTCTACCAACTTCTTTGACCACAAAGATCAGTATGAACTAGCTGCAGTTTTTTCGAGGCTCTCCATGCCTGTTTAGGAAAGGGTTGCCTATGTTGCTTCCCAAAATTACAAGTACGGCAAGGAGGTATGTCATCATCAATGTTAGCGAGTCCTACCAACTTCTTTGACCACAAAGATCAGTATGAACTAGCTGCAGTTTTTTCGAGGCTCTCCATGCCTGTTTAGGAAAGGGTTGCCTATGTTGCTTCCCAAAATTACAAGTACGGCAAGGAGGTATGTCATCATCAATGTTAGCGAGTCCTACCAACTTCTTTGACCACAAAGATCAGTATGAACTAGCTGCAGTTTTTTCGAGGCTCTCCATGCCTGTTTAGGAAAGGGTTGCCTATGTTGCTTCCCAAAATTACAAGTACGGCAAGGAGGTATGTCATCATCAATGTTAGCGAGTCCTTCTACCAGCTTCTTTGACCACAAAGATTAGTATGAACTAGCTGCAGTTTTTTTGAGGCTCTCCATGCCTGTTTAGGAAAGGGTTGCCTATGTTGCTTCCCAAAATTACAAGTACGACAATGAGGTATGTCATCATCAATGTCAACGAGTCCTTCTACAAGCTTCTTTGACCACAAAGATCAGTATGAACTAGCTGCAGTTTTTTCGAGGCTCTCCATGCCTATTTAGGAAAGAGTTGCCTATGTTGATTCCCAAAATTACAAGTACAGCAAGGAGGTATGTCATCTCAATGTCAGAGAGTCTTTCTACCAGCTTCTTTGACTACATCTGAAGCAAACCTCATTAATGAAAGTGCCCAAGTCTTTTGTGTCAAATCTCAGTGGCACTAGCTCTTGGATATAAAGGCTATCGGCTCTTTCTCCATCAGATTTAGAGCAAAGCTTTTTTCTTTCATTTTGAGATTGAACAAGTCTTTGCCATTAGGATCTTTGATAAAACACGGCTTATTCTCAAACAACACTTTATAGCCTTTATCAAGTAACCGACCAACTTTTATCAAGTAACTGACCAACACTTAAAGATTTTGATCAATTTTAGGTATCTGGAATAAATTTTGTACCTTCATAACTTGTTATAGGTACTATGCCTTTTTCTTTGACTTCCAAGTGTTCACCATTGCCAATTCTCACTCTCTTGACTTTAGTGTCTCTTAATTTCTCAAAAAACTCTTTGTCATATGTTATATGGTTTGTGCACCCACTGTCAATCAACCAGCTCTCGCTTGATTCTTTGCCTGAGAAACAAGTGACCACAAACAATTGATCTTCTTCTTCTTGATCAATTACCTGTGCCTCTACTTCTTTCACCTGTCCTTTGACTTTGCAGATCACAGCTTCATGTCCAAGTTGATTGCATTTGGGAGCATTTGGCATCAGGTCTTCTCCAACACTTGTATGGTGGATGACCTTTCTTCTCAATATGGTGGCAAGGTGGATAGGATTTTTTGAAACCTCCTCCTTTTCTCTTTTGATAATTGGCAGATGAGTTTCCATTCGACGATTGAATTTTGAAAATTTTCTTGTTTTTATAACTGCTATCGTCTTGATGCTTGACCGGTAAGGCACCTTCAATCACCCCTTATTGCCTCATAGATCTCATTTGCTATTGTGCTTGTAAAACATTCAAGAGCTCTGTAAGAGAAATTTTTGACAAGTCATTGGTGTTCTCTAGAGTAGTAATGGTAGCTTCAAACTTCTTTGGAATAGTGCCTAACAGCTTTTCAACGATCCTGGAATCATTTAACACATAACCAAGCAATCTCACCTTGTTGGCAATGTTGAGAAGTCTGTCAGAGTACTCTTTCACCGACTCCGACTCCTTCATCTTCTGCAACTTGAAATCCTTAATCAAATTAAGGACTTCCATTCCACGAATCCTCTCATCTTCTTCATATTCAACCTTAAGATAATCCCAGATTTCCTTTGCTATTTTGAGGGGCATTATTCGCATGAAGATTATTAACGACAAATAGGCAAACTTTTTCCTTTGATTTTCTTGTCTTCTTTTCCTTCTGTACTTTGATTTGTGGTTTAGTAGGATTTGCTGGAAGCAGAGGGACCTCGTAATCCTCTTCTATTGCTTCCCGAAGATCCAAAGCCTCTAGGTAAGTCTCCATACGAACTGCCCACATTTGATAATTGTCTCCATCAAAGGCTGGTGATGCAACAACTGAAAAACCGGATTCTCCTTCCATTTTGATCCGACAAATCTATTAAGAAGATAGCTTTGACACCATTGGTTAGTGAAAGAATGGGTGATTGAATGGTTGATGAGAATATTATATTATGGAGAGAAAGAAGGCTCTATATTATATTAATAAGATAGTAACTTAAAATAAAAAACTAAATCGAATAAGATACTAACTTAAATGAATTTAAACAAATACATAATCTTCAACATCCCTAACCACCAAGTTGCCATTTTTCTAACTATTTTCCCACCCTTTGTCGAATCCCAAAACGTCATCAAGAACCCAAGGAACCTAACAAAACCACATAGCCCACAGAGAGATTGAAAATAATTAACGGTTTTCTTTGGCACTGTGAATATGGCATTTCCAGTCCAAGGTCAACGCATGGGAGGTTTCAGAAGGTCAACGCATCCACCTCCAAGTTGTTCATTGGGTGTTTTCTCTTGTCCAAGTTGCCATTTTTGTGTGTCTACTTTTCTGTTGGTTTTTTAAATGCCAAAAGAAGCCAAACGCAGACAACAAAACCACATACGGTATTCATCGCCCACAAGGACGACTGCCCAATTATATTTATACTCCTAATCAATGCTTTTCCTAATACCCACTATAAAATACACCCTTCCAACTCTAAACATTCATCCATCAAAATACAAACCAAAACAACATCTGATTCTTGAAAGTCATGTCCAATACCGCCGGTCAAGTCATCAAATGCAAGGGTTCGAACCCCATATCATATCATATCAGAGTTGTGGAGAGCGTAGGAGAGGCCAGTCCAGCAGGTTAGGGTTTAGGGTTAATCAATTTTAGGGCAGTAACCAATTAATTTGATTTGAAAAAATGAACACAGGTGATTGCGGAGATGACCAATGGAGGCGTGGATCGAAGCGTTGAATGTACAGGAAGCGTCCAAGCAATGATCTCTGCGTTTGAATGTGTTCATGATGTAATTAATGATTATAGTTTCAGTTATTTGTTAGACAGGTATGTGTTTTAATATTAATTAGTGGATGATATGATATGATATGATATGTGATCAGGGGTGGGGCGTTGCTGTGCTTGTTGGGGTACCAAACAAAGATGATTCCTTCAAAACACATCCAATGAATTTCTTGAACGAGAAGACCCTGAAGGGAACGTTCTTTGGGAACTACAAGACCCGTTCCGACATTCCAAATGTGGTGGAGCAGTACTTGAAGAAGGTACATATGATTCATATACATATATATTAACTGAGGCAACCATATTCGCATCTCATTCATTAATAGCTTCGAATATGTATTAATTATGGCAGGAGTTGGAATTGGAGAAGTTCATTACTCACTCTGTCCCCTTTTCTGAGATCAACAAGGCATTCCATTACATGCTACAAGGACAGTCAATTCGATGCATCATCCGAATGGAGCATTGATATGTTTCCAAACCCCTTTGTGTTCCTCCTTCAAAAACCAAACAAATAACCAAAATAAAACATCTTCTTCTTTGTTCTCTTTTTTCGTCTTCTGGTAACAAACTGTTTTTCTTCTGTTTTGTTGTTTCTATAATTTCAAGTTTGGTTGTACATTTGAGTGTTGTGGATGTAATTACAGTTCGTTGAGTAATGTATTAATTCAAATTTCTTTCTTTATGTTCCATTCAATTACTTTCATCACAAATTTAATTGTCATAATAAGCATATCTTCCCTTTAATTTATTATCAATAATATGTGATTACATACATAATAGAGAACTTACAACACTCATCACTAAAAGCCTTAAATCAAATCGATATAAATTTGATTTGTCGATGATCAAGCATAAAAAACACTTACTTCTAAACTCAAGGTTTGAAGCACTTGTGACCACAACCAAGAAATTTTCATGCCTCAAGGTCTAATTATAAGGGTGAGAACTAACAATTTACCAAGTTTTAGTCACTTATATTCAAGCTATGGTGAACTCGTCAAAAGGAAAGTCTAGAAGACATTGGAGACATTCCCTGCACGTTGACCAAAGTTGAACTTCAAGATAGAGATACACTTTACATTTGCATTGAATGAACTCATAGTTGAATTTATAAAACTAGTCGAGGAGGGTTAATAAACACATTTCATTTATTGTATTATTTAATTCTAATTTAAATATTTATTTGTTATTTAAGCTAATTTTTAATATATGAGTTAATGTTATATGGTAACTTGGGTTACCATATTTCATCATTGACTAGTTATTTTAATAAGAAGGTTATGATATTTCTCTTTAACTAGCCAGTTTAATATAGAGGTTATGTGTCACATAAGTTAAGGTTGTCAAATGATATATAAAGCTTCTTTTCTTTCCTGACAAACATCACATTTTAGAATTGATGAGAACAGAGTTTCTATTTTAGATTTGTTGAGGGCCAAGTTTTTATTTTGCAAATTTTTGTGTTTAGAACTTGCATGTTAAAGTCATTCACTTTGCAAATTCTTGTGTTTAAAACTTGCATACTAAAGTCATTCAAGTGGTATTGATCAAATCTCTTGTGGGGTGATTTGAATCACAAGTTTAGAAACAAGTTTTCTTTATTCTTAATCTTGATCATCAAGGTAATCAGTTTCAAAACTTTTTCTTGGGTCGATATGTGAACGTTATGTTGTATGATATGACATGATAGGTGATAAAATGATATGATGTGTTAGAAGACATGATAAGTTATGATATGACTTATGTTTGACATGAATGATATATGATAAGATTGACATGCAAAAATGACGAATTGGCACAAGATATAACCCCGATATACACATGACAAGTTATGATAAAATGAAATGATATAAAGGAAAATGTTGAGGGAGTTCTTATACATGATAATGAAAGGAAAACTATTGGGACCTCATGCATCATTGCGTGCTCATGCATCAAGGGATACCCCTTATCTTCATTTACGATGGAATGGACGCGTACACTACGAGACAAGGATCGATCATTACATTTATTATAATACTGCGATGGTCACTATTCCTAACGAGTGTCCAGCATCAACAGCTACTAGAGAATGCTCGCCCGACAAGAAAGGGACCCAGGAGGTGTGCGAACCGACTAGTGGGTCCATACTCGCACGTGTGGGTCAAGTGTAGAATAGTAAATACACATCCAATTACCGGTTTAGGATAGCTGCCTAAAGAATATAGACTAATATGATAGGTCCTACTCATGATTGTATGTGCTTGCATCTAACTCCAATAGTGGGGTCACTTACAGAGTATTTCTCAAAATACTTAAGCCATGGGCTACTCTTATTTTTTCAGTAACGACAAGGCTCTCATGTACGGATGACGGTGGCATCTCAACTCACGAGATCATGACACATGCATAGAGTAGTTTGCCATTTAAATTTTGTAGACTATAGGTAGTGTAGATTAGTTGCATTTTCATTTAGTAGTATATAAGTTAGTATAGAACATTTTTACTTTATGTTATTTAAATTTTTGTTATTTATCTCAAAAGATCTTTCTAGAAAACACGCAAATTAACTATATTTTATGATAAAGTTTTGAATGAAATATTTTTGCATAAATGGTCTATGATATGAGTAAAGTAGCGACTCTAAGTAAGTAGAACTCTAGAGTCGTTACAAAAACGATCCAGAAATGAGCATTTGATGGAGGTGAGTATTATGAGTATTAGTTTTCGATTTTGGTTCAGATCCAAGCTCATAGATGAATATTTTAGTCAACAAAGGAATTTGACTTGAGGTCTATGTAAAAAGATAGGAAGAAAATAGAAATTCACGAAAACGTCAAAATTTTGGGTTTCACGAAAATAAAAGAAAATCCCTACGAGAGAAATCATATTTCATGATCGAACACACCCCGTTGAACATGCAGAAAAAATGCGTTTGTAGGGGCTCAAAATAAAGAATTGATGTTATGATCATCCTTATGCAATACGTGTTGTTTGTAACTGCATGTTAGATATCCTAGTCATGCTTGTTAAGGGTGTATTGTCTATAGCCACATGCTTGTTCTAAATCCTTTTACTTATTTTTCATGTTACGTTAATACAGGGGTTTGTCCATTCGTCAAAATCATGTATACATCTATCAAGGCTAAAATGCCTCAAAATGTACTAGGGATGTGACTAGTCGTCCATTCTTCCTATCCGGATAATGCACTATCAAAGCTTGGTTGTTGCTTAATTGCTTTCTGCCGATGACATTGTTTTCTTATAAATCGATTTCTAAATCTTTATCTATCCCTATTCCTAAAATACTTTCTAAGGAAGGGGTCAAAGGCTTAAGTACGTGTCACTCTTGCCAACTAAGACCCAAATTTTAGTTAGGTAACTTACTTGAGGTGAGAATAAGTGTTGCATAATCGCATTGTGAGTCCTGAAAAGTGCGATTGCGAAAATTGGTGTTAGAGTCGAATCAGCTCCTTGAATTTGAGTTAACAAACATGTCCACTCCAAAACAACTAGGCAAGTCCTAAAGATCGCAAATTAGTTGCATGAACGAGATTGCCATTAAAGTCAACAAGATCAACAAAATGGCAAGCCAATGCCCATACATAAATTAATATTGAGGGTTGAGACACTAGAAGACAAGGTCACAATAGCTATTGTGGCTTGGAGCATGGGGATAGCTCGACTGGCTCGAGCCTAGACAATTCCCAGAAAATATCATTAAATGGTTTATGAAATGTTGAGGACATAAGAGAAGCCCTGACTACAAAAAAAAGTGTCCCTCTATGCTTTCCAAGCCAAATTTGGAATGAATTTAACAGCTAACCAAAAGCTTTGAAAACTCTCGCTTCTTCTAGTGGAATGTGGTCATATGTATGTCGAGACCTTGGTTAATAATAAAGTAGCCAAGAACACTATTATATTTGGCTCACAACCTTATGACAGAGACCGAAACTAAGTGCTTAAACATCCTCTAGCATCGATACACAAGAAGGGTTAAAGGCGTCAATTTGGTAGCCCGCTAGGGACTTGGACTGAACAAACCAGTAGCCCGCTAGGGACTTGGACTGAACAAACCAATTTTTGATGGACAACTTCAAAGTCATATTAGGGATGGATTTCCTACTAAAAAACAAAGCCATCTCGTGCCCCTAGCAAAATGCTTAGTAGTGACAAGGTCCAACTCCATCATCATTCACACTAAAACCCATCAATCAAAAGGGATGAAGATGATGTCAACGCTATAGTTGAAAATGGATCTTACACATGATGAACCCACACTCACTGTAATTGTCATAGTTGAAGAGAAAAGCTAGAGTGAACAAACCCCAACAGAAACCTCACAGTTGCTAAAGGAAACCATGGCCAAAAGGTGAAACTAAGGTTTGTTCTGACCTAGGGAGATAGATCACAAAATCGCATGCCATACAGTGTGTTGCAGCACTCAATCTAAGTTGGTTGTACTCCACAAGAAACTAAATAGCTGGTTGAAGGATGAGTTTATTAGACCTGCAAAGGCTCCTATCAGCCATCATCTAAATGTTGGGGAGATGACACAAGCCAACACCTTCAATGAAGTACGAAGACAAACATCAAAAGTAATTCGTGTTTATTCGGGAAGAACATCCATATGGATGAAGAGAAGGGTCAGTCAGAAACGCAGGTCACGACAATTCCAAAGTAGAGAAAGGGTTCTTATCAAGCTAAAGATATATCAATTTTAATTCCAAAACAACAAAAATACGGACCAATCAAAACCATTCAAAAGATCAGAAAGTTATCAAATAGGATTCAATTCCTCCCATGGATGCAGATTATTCTTGTTATCCACGTTAATAACTTGAAACATTACTATCCCGATCAAAAAGATGTTAAGCACAAGGAGGCGACACGACCTCCACCAAAAAGGAAGTAGGAGAGATTCTAATTGAGAAGACACGAAAAGTTGACAAACTAAGAAGTGATTTTCAACATTTCCTAGTAGATTGAATGAGACTCCTTAGTGCTGAGATCGACTGGAAATGCGTCGAGAGACCTAAAGTCAGCCTCATCCTACATCACTGAGTTCATGAAGAGTCGATTGATAGAGACGTCAACCAATAGAGTAAGGGAGGATGTCATGGTCATGATTGTTCAAGATGTGTTGTATGTGGTCATAGCCAAATATCCTGGTCATGCTAGTCAAGGGCATGTTGCCTATGGCCGCATGCTCATTCCAAACCATTTTACTTATTTTCATGGTAGTTAAGTATTTACCATTCATGTTATGTCAACACAAGGGTGTATAAGTGTTTGCCAAAATTATATGTACACCTATCAAAGCTAAAATGCTTTGAAATGTACTAAAGGGAATGTTAGTAGTCATCAATTCTTCCTACCCGAGTTATATGCCATCAAAACTATGATGTGTTGCTTATTTGCTTTTAGCCTATAACATTGCTTTCTAAAACTTTATATGCATCCCTATTTCTAAAATGTTTTTGAGCAACTGGACCGAAAGCTTAAACCTACATTGCCT